GCTGGTCGCAAACGGCGCGTTCATAGACATATATATATATATACTATATATATATATAGTATATATATATATATTGTATCTCGTATCTCCTTTATAGACATAGAAGAGATAGGAGTTGGAAGGCAGTGAAGGCGTTGAATCATTACATGTTACTCTGGTGCAGTTGCTGATAAGATTGTATGCGAAAGTTTGGCGTGATCGCTCAACCACTTTTCTGTTATCGCATCCATATTGATTTCTATGTGCCATGAGTCCCAATCGGGGGCTTCGGAGACCGGTGTCACCGCTCTTTCCCATGCATCGCTGCGACGTTCCAAGTCGTGCACCGGCATGACGTCCTCGTGTGCCACCGCGCGCATTCCTTGCCCGCTTTCAAACCAGGTATGCCTCGGATGAACTCGCCGGTGATTGAAACGCCCCACGATTGGTTGCAGGGCCGGGCCACGCCGCGAATAACACGTCATAAACCGTCTGGGGGATCACGTCGTAAACAGTGCTGTGTTGTGTGCGGTGTGCGAGCGCCGAGCGTGCACCGGCGGCCGGCGGCCGGGTGTTTCACATCCACCTGGGCTGCTCTGGCCGATCCGCAGATCGCACGCGGACGGGGATGGACGGCCGAGCCGGCTGCGGGCCAGCGGAGGAGGCGGCCGCCGCCGAGGAGACCAGCGCAGGGGTGCGCGGAGGCGGTGCGGCTGCGTCTTGGGTTAGGGCGCAGCGGCGAGAGAGAGGCCGTGCAGTCCGAGGGCGGCCTTCCGCCGGGACGTGAGGAGGACGGGGCGCCGCTGACGGGATGAGCGGTATCGACGGCCGTGTCGGAGTGGGGAGCGCTGCCGGACGGGGACGCTCCGGACCCGTGCTGGGGCGGCGGCGCCTCTCCAGAGGCCCGTCACGCCGCGCTTGAGGTGGCGCCGGCCCCGGAGCACACGGCCACCCCGCCTGCGGACGCCCGCGCCCGGCCGGCGCAGGCCGCCGCCCTGCCGGCGGACCGGCTCAGCCCGGCCGGGGACGAGCGGCCGGTGCCGGTTAGAGCTGGCCGGCCCGCTGCGGCTACGTCTGGAGTCCGGCGGCGTGCGCTGCGGCTGCGCTCGCGCCACGGCGTGCCCGGACAGCTGAGCGGCGGCCTGCCGCGCGCGCCGCGCCAGTCCGCCCAGCTCGGCCTGCCGCTGGCGCTGCTGCCCGAGGAGACTGGCGCTGCTGCAGCAGCACGGTGAGCGCCGCGGATGCCGCGCGGGCCGAGATTGAAGGCCGCCGCTCGCCGGACTCGGCGATCGCGTGCGTTCCGGGATGTGGGACGCGTGGTAGCTGTCCGCACGGAGCGGATGTGGGCGACTGCATGACGTTGGCGGTGGAATGTAGATGCTTTCCGCGTTGGATAAGATCTGGTCAGGATTGCCAGTGGGGCGTGGTGGCCCACGTAAGTTGTTCAGCAAATTACCACTGTCCATGGCGGATGCAGTCGAAATACCATGCCGCGACGTCCAATGTTTGCATTGTGCGACTTCGCCGTGCCCACGACTGGCGTCTTTCACTTGCATGACGGATCATGACGGATCGATCGCACACCGGCGTTTCGCTTGGTGCATATATGGATGCAAACGTCATAAACCATGCGATGAACGCATGCGCGAAATCCAAACAACGCGACCAGCCCGCCCACGTGTGCCTTTTGATGACAAGCGATGGTCCGTTTCCGGCATCTGCGATGTGGTGACGTACCCGGACCTAACGAGGCCGCGCTCGGATGACGACCGGCGCCTGCTGGAGCAGCACGAGCAGCGCAGCGTCGAGGCGCAGCAGAAGGCGATGACTCTGGCGCGCCACAAGCAGCTGCTGGAGCGCGCCGATTCAGATCGTCGACGGCAAGTGGAAGAAGCAGGGGCAGCCAGCAGCGGGCGGCCGGCCGCGCCGTGGAGGCCGTCTCGCGCCACCAGCTGCGGTTCGACTTCATCGAGCGGCTGCGCGCGAAACGTGCGGCCGCCTCCGGCCGCGCAGTGCTACGCGCAGCTGTACTGCGGCCACCCGGCTGACGGCGCGGCTGGCGCCAGCCCCGCTCGCGCCGCCGCGCTCACCGCTGGAGCGGAGCGCGCCGCGCCACGTACGCCGACCTGTGGCGGCGCGGCTACCGGCTGACTGACGGGCTCAAGTTCGGGCGGTGACTTCCTGCGGTACGAGGGGCGACCCGCTGACGCACCACGCGGCGCTGGTGGTGCGCTGCGTGGCGCGACGGCCGGCACGTGCGCGACGTGGGCCGGCCTGCAGCGCCTGGCGCACGGTTGCGGGCAAGACGCTGCTCATCAGCGCGGTGGACCAGCACGGGCGCGTCCGACACCGGACGGTCGGCCGCCGGCCTCCGCCGCTCAGGCCGCTTGCCGGAGGAGGCGCCGCCGGCGGGCCCGCGCGCCCTCCCAGACTGAGGCGGCGGGCTGATTGGGCCCTTCGTTGCGCTGTCGTCGGCTGTGGAGTGGGTTGCGATCGATTGATCCGCCGTTTGAGGAAGGGGTCACCAGACGGCACGCGGATGTCTGTGGTTTTCAAACTGGTGGGGCAGTACGCCCTTTTTATTACGGAGGCTAAGTTCGCGGAGGGTCTCCGTTGCGATCTTCCACGAACGCACCGGCCGTGGTCGGGCTTCCAACAGTCGACCTTGTGCAGCGACCCTCAGCTGTGGGCGTGAATCCTCTTACCCAGGCGGGCGCTTTTGCACAGGCCGCGCGCTCTCGTGGCAGTCCTGCGGTGCGGCCCGCTGCAGGTCTCTTGTGTCAGGTGCGGCGCGCGGCTGCAAACGCCTGTTGTGTCAGCCACCCGTCCGGCGCCAACGCAATACATGACGTCACCCGTCACGGGACTGCTGACCCGTTACGGCCGTGACGTAACCACGGTTCGCGGCGGGCTCCGCGCGACCGCCGCCCGGGCGGCATCATCCCCGTGGGAGGCGGACGACACTCAGCGCAGGGTGGGCCGAGACCCCCGGCGGCTGGTGACGTCAGCAGCTGCGTGTCGCTGGCAGTCCGGACAGATTCTCGACATGGTTGAGCCGGTTCTCGGAATGGCGGCGGAGGTATCGCTTCGTCTGGGAAATTGGGCCTCTCAAGTTTGCCTTGGCATCACACCCAGTGATGCAGACTCCAGGATGTTGTAGTTCCGGCGTTTTAGTCGGGATAAAATGGGAGCTGACGCATCCGCCGCAACGCGTGCGTGGTGGCCAGCCCGCCCCGGGGTAGCCAGCGCGCCCGGGGGTAGCCAGCCCGCCCCGGTGTAGCCAGCCGCGCCGGGGTAGCCAGCCACGCCCCGGGGTAGCCAGCCGCGCCCCGGGGTAGCCAGACCGCCCCGGGGTAGCCAGCCGACGCCCCGGGGTAGCCAGCCCCGCCCCGGGGTAGCCAGCAGCCCCGGGTAGCCACCGGCGGGTAGCCAGCCACGCCCCGGGGTAGCCAGCCACGCCCCGGAGTAGCCAGCCACGCCCCGGGGTAGCCAGCCACGCCCGTCTACGACGGTGTGTGGGAAGACGTGAGCTTGCACAGGGCGTACCTTTGATGTTTGCAAAACTTTTGGTGGTGCGGACACGCAGCACGTGGCTTTAATCCTGAACTGTCTTCGCCGGCCACCTTTTGAAGGATCTTGCCTGCTGCGACATCGCGTGGTGAATAACTCTGCATTCAGCATGCTTTTAGCCCTACGGACGTCCCTGCCCAGACATGCTGGCAGCACGAATAAAAAGAGGAGTTCCGGGCGTTAGTGCCACGCCATCTGCACGGACTGGCATTCCACGTGGTGGAATGCATCAAGCCGTCACTGTTTCCGCGCACTCCCTATACATGCCGAGGCGAGCCTGCCCGAGGGTGGAGTACGTACCCCATCTCACCTCACACGCTCACGAGCGGCGTTTCCGCCCGTCCATTGCAATCCAGGATGGCTTCGATCTTAGCTCGAAGCACCAGATAAACAGAGTGCGGGGCTTTGTCCGGCGGCTCCGCTCATCTGGGCGGCGATGAGCCGGAGTGGCCGGTCTGATCACCGGCCACAAGAGGAGGTTATTCGTGATACCACGGCTTCCCACCCTGGGTACGCCAGCGTGGGTGGAGAATGCTCTGACACTTGTCAAGGCAAAACTGCTGGAGCGAAATATTTCATTGAGAAACGTGACTTAAATGGGGGCCGGTCACAAGTGAGCGCAGTTTTTGTCGGTGCGGGGCCCGCTTTCACAGCCCGTCACCACACGCCGCATTCTCCGCTCCCGCCCCATTGCAGATAAGTGGAACCGCACAGAACAGTTGTGCGCCACAAAAACACGGCCGAGGCGAGCGGTATAAAATGTATTAGAATACATTTTGACAACAGAATGATTCGTAGCAATCTAATGTTCACGTGTTCCACTTAAAATAAAAAAAACCGCTGACAAAAATACGCGGCTGAACGGCGACGACCACAGTGCCGAGGACGCAAACAAGGAAGTCACGAAACACATTGTACTGGGTCTGTCTTGGCGAGATTCAAGCACTAAAAAGACAAAACACCACACCGAAGTCGGCGGGGTGCGCGCTCAGGATGGCATGTTATGTACAGAAATGCAGGAACTACCTGATCCGCGGACGGCCGCACGGCCCAACCGGCGGCGGTCGGCACCGCGGGCCCGCCACCAGAGCTGCCTCCATCCGTGATATCGACGCCGCACGCGGACACGCGCCGTCCCACCACGGCCACAACACGACTCAGAGGTCACTGAGCGGCGGCACGCGTCTCCGTCTCTTCCACCCCTGTACCGCTGCACCGCCCCGCGTCCCTCGGGAACGCTCCCCGCCGGCGCCGCAGCGCGCGCACTCGTAAGAACCGTACAAAAGCGTTAGAAATCTTCGTACGAGGCTGCCTTTGGCACAAATAATGACTTAAATAACCGATCCGGGGTCTGTCGTCGTCCGCGGCGCCCGGGCGGCGCCGTGGTTGGCATTCACGCGTCTTACACACTATGTACAGCCGGTCCTGTCGGGAAAGAAGCCCCGACAGCCCTAGCACTTAAACTCGGAGGCCGTGATGGCGTTCAAGTCCTTCATCAGGCCCTCCAGGTTGGCCATCTCCTGCGTTAACTCTTCCGTGCTGCACGATGGCTGAAAGGAGACGTGCTGAGATGAGGCGCGGGAGACATGGGGCACGGCGAGGGAGGTTAACAAACCAGTAACGGCTTGGAACAGTAGCCGGCACGTAGGTGCACAGTGCGACATTCAGACGGACGAAATACCGACCTGAAATGACAAGGAGCCACTTTGTTCCACCGCCCCCTGACTCATATCATCTTTACAAAATAAGCTGTTCGCGGCCTGTTTGTTATGGAGACAGCGTATACACAGTGGTACAATAATAGCACGATGGCGAAAAACATATACACATTCAGACAGCACCAGTCAGCCACTAAGCTGATGCTGAGCTAGACCTAATACCAACCGACCCTTGAGACTTGACCATCCCTCCCCAAACCCAACAGCCCACAGGGGCACCCGCTGCAGCTCGCCATTCCTGACCTAGCTTGGATGGTTCCTGACACAATCACTCCCAATCTCCCATCCCTCCGCGCCTCCTACTGACCCGGAGCGTTGTCAGCTCCTCGCGCGTGCCGACGCCGTCGGCCGGCCGCGGCGCGCAGGCGAACGACGGCCGCTTGAGCGGACTGCCGAGGGGCGCGCGCCGGCCAGCGGCGGCGGCGGCGCCGGCACGCCGAAGCTCTTGAGCGGGTGCGCCAGCGGCGCGGCGGCCCGCTTGCCCAGCGAGCCCGAGTCGACGCTGCTGGCGGCGCTCGATGGGTAGCCGGGGCAGGCCGGTCGGCCCGCCCGCCTCCGACGACGAGGCCGAGGTGAGGCCCAGGCCGGCGCCGTAGTGGCTCTCCGGCGCCGTCGGCGCTGGAGGCAGACAGCCGGCGTGACGTCGCGCCACCTCTGAATACGGACGCAGAGGCGCGCGAGGCAGGCACGGCTACTGCAGAAGCTGCGTCACTGCCGCTCCAACCACAGGTCGTCCGACCGCCGGCGTTATGACATGCGTCAGTTAACCCAATACAGCCATCAAACATCTCCGACCACTACCAGCCCGTACTCTCCGGCCGAGAACACCCAACGCACCCACGTTCCCGCAACGGTGCAGCGAACACGCCGAGCCCGGCTCGCCAGACACCGCGATCCACCGAATATCCACATCCGTGTCGCACCCGCCACGCGGCCCTCCCGCCGCCGCGGCCGCTCCAACCGGAAGCGGACCGGTAGCGGACGGGCAACCGGACGGAAGGCGCGCGGTCCAGACTAGCAGCGGGCTGGGAGCGGGCCACGAGTACGCTCCCAGCCCGGTGCACCGGAACGGTCCGTGGGCAGTCCGAAGGTCCGGCTAGGATTGGGGGTTTCGGAGTCCCGTCAGGAGCGGGCCGGAAGTCCTGTCAGGAGAGGACCAGACCGCTTAGGTTGGTTATTTGGATTAGACCCCTTCCCACCAAAAATGTCATTTCAGGGCTATGGAGTACAGAACAATGGATAGCGGTGGGTCAGGGCGACATGTGCATGAGGGGCCGACCACTGAGCCTTAGCCCGCGCAGGGACCCCTCTGCGGGGTGTGCGCTGGGCGCCCGGTCGGGGTCCGTCCGTGACTGGCGCATGCAGCCTGCCCCGGACAAGCGGAGCGCTGCGAGGGGCAGGATGAAGCAAGACAGAGGAAGAGGGTGCCGGGGCGGAGAGACCGGTCAGAGGCGGGTCTCTCACCTGGCGGCGGCGGCGGCTCGCTGCCGACATTGCGCGATATGCTGAACTGTGTGCGCGGATAGACGGGCCGCGTCTCCACCGTGCCGTTGGCTAGTGCCGTGGCCGAGCTGCCAGCTGCGGCGAACGGCGGTCTCAGTGTCGGCGCCGCGTGCGCAGGTCCAACTCTCACTCTCGCTCGCGCGGGGGACGCGACAGCACACGGATAGCGGCTCACGACGAGGACAAATACACCACTCATCACAAAACACAACGGGCACAGCAGTTAACTACGGTAGATGTACTGCATGGCAAGCCAACACAACTCGACTTAAAACCCACAACGAAAAGTAAACCTCCGGCTGTCGATAAGCCATGCGGTTCTCCATGCTGTGGCAGCAATACTCACGGTCCCGGTGCGGTGCGACATCTATAGGCACAACGATAGGCTTTGGTTTGAACACCGACCGCCTGTGAATCTGCTTGTCTAATCTGTCCTCACTGCGGGATGACCCTGTCCAGGAGGCGGCGCGTGTGAAGACGTGCACTAGCGCAGCGTGCTGGACAACCAAGCCGAGCCGGGCCGACACGGACAGTGCAGCGCCCCGAAGGACGACTCGGCGCCGAGCGGACCAAATCATATGCGATACAAAATGCGCAACTTAAGGCAAGCGTGCAGCGCAACACCACTAGACGGCCGCGCTGGCGGCAGCGCGGGCGCCGGCAAGCTATCTGACAGTGCGGTGCACCAGCTGGCTAGCAGACCCAGTGTATGTGTGGTTCATCAGGACACGCTTCGAGATCTAAATCAAAACGGTGGTAATGATGAGCGGTGCTTGAAACTGCCTAATCCGCCCACCTAATACAAAACAATAATCAATCCAGTACCGGGACGGGCCTGGGCTAGGCACGGCTGGTCCTGGTTGAGCAAATGATTTCGTATACTGTTTCAAGCTCGATTTCAACCTCACCGTTTCCCACCAGATCTCCAACCGCGTCCAGACAACTCGCAATCCCACGGCACGGTCCCACCAGCTGACCAGCCCTGTGTGACCGACCCGGCCGTCGGGCGCGCGGCACCGCCATCCGACGACGCCCGCCGCCGGCGCGCGCGCCCCATGCACCCGACCCGCCGCCGCCGCTCACCTTTGCCGACGACGGGCGAGTGGGTGCGCGCGGCGCGCTCGCGCCGGTCCAGCGTCGACGCGTACGACCGCTCGTCGACCTCGTAGTCGGGCGACTGGCGGCGCAGCGTCGAGCAGCTGTCCGAGCGCTGCTTGCCGATGGGCCGCAGCTCCATCTGGTCGTGGTGGATCCACAGGTCGGGCGGCTTCAAGTCCGGCGTGCCGATCTCCGTCTGGCCCTTCACGTAGCTGTTGCTGAAACGGCCCGCCGTCTCTGACCGCATGGCAGCGGGGGGACAGGCTCGGCGCCGCAGCGGCGGGGAGCGCACGTCTCCCGTGCGGGAGGCCGGCTCTAGTTACGGCTGACGCTGGCCTTCCTTGTCGCTAACAAGACCGGCATACTAATAAGCATCATACGCTCTATGACGGACGTGTCCGGCGAGCACAGCGCACCACTCTGAAAAAGGACATGGGGCTGCGACGGGGCGGGGTGACGTAGAACATCACCAACTTTTCTCCAAAAAGCGCGACCGATGTAGCCACCAGGGCAATGAGTGCGACAAGGCCGCATCCATCGCGTCACGACGGATGTGTCTGCTGACAGCATCCGCATTCAACACGGCAGAGCCAAACTCTGCTCCCTTCAGCGGGCCGGGCGAGCAGTGTACCTCTTGTGACCGCGCCGGGGCAACTCCTGGCTCGTCTTGCGCTTGCAGAGGCAGACGGCCGCAATGATGCCGATCACCAGCAGCAGCGTGACGGAGCAGGCGATGATGACGTAGAGCAGGTGGTCGCCCAGGCCGCCGCCGCCTGCCGGCCGGCCGCCGTCACCGTCACACACTGACGGGACCCGGCCGCGGCCCGGCGCCGGGACAGTGGTCACGGTACGCGGTGGCCATCCCATACCGTGCAAACGCAACTGGTTCCTGAGTTAGTGTAGCGGTGAAATAAACACAAGGAAACGGCATGTCACACATATTTAAACGGAGCTTTGCAGCAGAAAATTTAGACTCTAGGGGCAGACAGCAAGCATACGAACGAAACCAAAAAAAAGAAGAAAACCGTGCTTCTTGACGCTCACCTGATTTTCGCTCGTACGACAGGCTGTAACCAGGGTCTACAAAAACCAAAACGAAAATGTTAACACAAAGGACGAGACTGGCGTGCACAAAACAAGGCAGAAGTTCGACCAGAGTCGCGGCAAAGCGACCCAACTCGGCCGCTGAAAAGACACGTGCAGTGTGCCACAGGAGGGGGCACCTGGTGCAGGCACGACAAACCACCACTCCCGTCATGACTGTCACGCCGTGGCCAGCGAGAAGTACCCTTTCCCCGCGCCGTCCCTGCCCGGGTACCGCGTGCCCGGCGCCCCTACCCGGACACCGCACGCCTGGCGTCTCCCTGCCGCGCTCCTGCCCGGGCGCCACGTGCCTGGCGTCTACCTGCCCCTCCTGCCCGGGCATCACGTGCCTGGTGTCTCCCTGCCGCGCCTTGCCCGGGTACCACGTGCCTGGCGCCTCCCTGCCCCTCCTGCCCGGGCATCACGTGCCTAGTGTCTCCCTGCCCCCTCCTGCCCGGGCACCACGTGCCTGGTGGCTCCCTGCCCCTCCCGTCCGGGCACCACGTGCCTGGTGGCTCCCTGTCGCGCTCTTGCCCGGGCACCACGTGCCTGCCGCGCCCCTGTCCGGATGCGACACACTCTCGCCGCCCCCCCCCCCCCCCCCGTGTGCCGCTGCCAGAGCTTTTAGCCATGATCAGCTACAGACAACGGCCTCATCATGGCCAGCTGTTAACTGAGTCACATCAATGAGCAAAACAAGACTGCGTGTGTCACAAACGAACGAAAATGGATGAGCTTGCTCATGCACGACGTGCAGCGAATGCGTGTGACGCTTCAGATCACTCGCGGCAAAGACAATACAATCATTGGACTGGAAGCTGTGACGAAATCATGCGCAAAATCCAGCAATGCCGGTAAAACAACGGCCGCAGCTATCATCAAGTCACCCCTGTATATCATGTAAACGCACGGATAATGACAATGCCGAGGGTAAGTCACACCGCATTACACAACCAGCTAAACGGACACTCTGTCAGGTAATTGGCCCCGCGAGTCCACACATCCTCCAAGTTTTGCAAGAAGTTTCCCCGCAACGAACGCACGCACTTTTGACTTGACCTGGTCTTTTTGTGCCAAACAGCGGACGGTAAAAAGCGGCAACACATGCCAACCGAGCGCTGCACGGTAGTGAGTCGTGATGATGCTGGCGCGCGACCTCAGCTGAGGTAACAGTCAACAATGACCTGACTTGGCCTGTGCTGGAGATCAGGCTAACCTCTGCTGCCGAAATGGGCCTGTGCAGATCCTGACCCGCGTGGGTGCCGGCGCTGTGCCGACCACCACCCGCACGGGCACCGACTCGGGCCCATGGCCTGGAGCAGTGTCCCGAGTCTGACCTACGCTGATGCAGACCCAGTGCCGACCACCAACCGTATTGGCACCTACTCTGACCGATGACCTAGAGCAGTGACCCGAGCCTGACCTACGCTTGATGCAGACCCAGTGCCGACCACCACCCGCACGGTGCACCGGGCTCTGACCGACCGACGACTAGAGCAGTGACCCGAGTCTGACCTACGCTGATGCAGACCCAGTGCCGACCACCAAACCGTATTGGCACCTACTCTGACCGATGACCTAGAGCAGTGACCTGGATCTGACCTACCCTGATGCAGACCCGTGCCGACCACCACCCGTACTGGCACCGGCTCTGACCGATGACCTAGAGCAGTGACCCGGTCCTGACCTGAGCTGTGTGTGCAGCCGGACCGGCCGCGAGGATGGGGCTGTTGCCGGCGCTTGTTGCGCGCCTGGATGCGGAACCATAGAACGGTTGGAGGGCGTGAGGCGCTGAGCGCGGTCGTCATCTGGTCGCCCACCACCGGGTGCACCAGCCACTCGCGTCCTGCCGCGACCGGTCCGGCGTGTACTGGATCACGTAGCCTGCGGCGGGGAGGGCGGGTCAGGGCAGGGCGCCGGGGGACGGTCGACGTCAGGCCAACACACACGGCGAGGTCGAGCTTCGGATTCGGAGCAGCCACACCGGCAGCGGGGCTCGCCGGCTGGCTGCCGGGCCCTAGTCGGCAGAAATGACCACGAAGCGCCGCAGGGCTGGCTCGGCAACACGCCAGTGTGAAGCTCAGTAACACCAACAAGAGTCAGAATCTTCTTAAGCGTGCAACATCTTGTATGTAACCGGCTACATTACACGGAGCCCCCTCCCCCGCCCCGAAGACCACCCCCGCCTCACTGACCGTCGATCTTGCCGTTGGGCGTCTTGGGCGGCTGCCAGTTGAGGTTGATGATGGCCGGGTTGTCCTCCGACTGGACGATGGTCAGGTCACGCGGCGGCGAGGCGGGCGCCGACTCGCGCGTCTGATTCACCACCACCAGCGACCAGTCCGACTCACGGCGACCCTGCAGGCGCAGCCGAGACGGCCCCGTCAGACGGACGCCACCAGCGCCGGCGCGCCCCGCCAGCCGGCCGGAGCGCGCGGTCACCACCCATGGACCGCCCCGTCAGACGGACGCCACCAGCGCCGACGCGCCCCGCCCGGCCGGCCGGAGCGCGCGGTCACCAGCCATGGACCACCCTATCAGACGGACGCCATCATCGCCGACACGCCCCACCCGACCGGCCGGAGCGCACAGTCACCAGCCACGGACCACCCCGTCAGACGGACGCCACTAGCGCCAACGCGCCCCACCAGCTGGCCAGAGCGCGCGGTCACCAGCCATGGACCGCCCCGTCAGACGGACGCCACTAGCGCCAACGCGCCCACCAGCTGGCCAGAGCGCGCGGTCACCAGCCATGGACCCGCCCCGTCAGACGGGACGCCACCAGCGCCGACGCGCTCCACCAGCTGGCCAGAGCGCGCGGTCACCAGCCATGGACCGCGCCGGCTGGCGGCTGCGCGGGGGCTGCCACGGGCGCACACGTCCCTGGTGAGCCGGACTCGAGCCCGCACCCCGCAGCGACCCGGCACATCGTCAGCTTCGGTCGGCCAGGTCCGACAGGTGCTGACCCGATACCACACACTGCCCGTCCGGGCCCAGCTCTACGCCACGGGGCTTAACCTAGCCTAAGGCCGCAAAATGATCCAGCGTAAGAGCTCACACGACCAGGCATTACGTTCAGCAACCAGTTATCCCAGCCCCAAAGGTTCGACGGCCTGGCACCGTGCAGAATCATTGCTGTCTGTGACACTGACCGACAGCCCGGGCCACCACCCAACCGAGGACGCCATTTCCCTTAGCAGCCATGGAGACTATGTTCCTCAGCGCGAAGCACCGGTTCGCGTCTCCCACCCGTATCCTGCGCGGCGCGTCCGGCCCGTTCCGTCGTACCTTCACGGCCTGCACAGAGAACTCGTAGGTGGTGGCCGGTCGCAGTCCCTCGATCATGCAGTTGAGCTGCGAGGCGTTGTAGTGGCGGTAGCGCTTCGGGCTGCCTGGCTGCTGTAGCGCACCGCGTAGATCCGGCCGTCTGTGACCTCCTGCAGCCGCCCCGACCGAAACACGTCACAGCGGCGACACCACTACGCCACCAGCTGCTGCCGGGGCACCATATGACCAGGACAGTCCCGCCCCGACCGAAACACGTCCCAGGGTGACACCACTGCGCCTCCAGCTGCTGCCGGGGCACCATATGACCAGGACAGTCCCGCCCCGACCGAAACACGTCCCAGGGTGACACCACTGCGCCTCCAGCTGCTGCCGGGGCACCATATGACCAGGACAGTCCCCGCCCCCGACCGAAACACGTCCCAGGGTGACACCACTGCGCCTCCAGCTGCTGCCGGGGCACCATATAACCAGGACAGTCCCGCCCCGACCGAAACACGTCCCAGGGTGACACCACTGCGCCTCCAGCCGCTGCGAGGCACCATATAACCAGGACAGTCCCGCCCCGACCGAAAACACGTCCCAGGGTGACACCACTGCGCCTCCAGCTGCTGCCGGGGCACCATATGACCAGGACAGCCCCGCCCCGACCGAAACACGTCCCATGGGTGACACCACTGCGCCTCCAGCTGCTGCCGGGGCACCATATAACCAGGACAGTCCCGCCCCGACGCCGAAACACGTCCCAGGGTGACACCACTGCGCCTCCAGCCGCTGCTAGGGCAACCATATAACCAGGACAGTCCCGCCCCGACCGAAACACGTCCCAGGGTGACACCACCTGCGCCTCCAGCTGCTGCTGGGGCACCATATGACCACGACAGTCCCGCCCCGACCGAAACACGTCCCAGGGTGACACCACTGCGCCTCCAGCTGCTGCCGGGGCACCATATAACCAGGACAGTCCCGCGCCCGACCGAAACACGTCCCATGGGTGACACCACTGCGGCCTCCAGCCGCTGCCGGGGCACCATATAACCAGGACAGTCGGGCGCAAACCAAAGGCCTCAAATCATCGTCATCGTCCTCATCCTCCTCATCATCATCCTCATGATCATCATAAACATAATAATAATATCATTATCATGCTGCCGTGTCAATGTACGACGGACGTGTTCTAAAGCAAAAGGAAATGCGATATCTGTGTAATACAACGCAACAAGTCACGCTCGGCGATGATTACAAATGTCGTATCACGGACGGAACACTGCAAAACGCACGACGGCTCACCTAGCACCCTGGTCTTGTGTGTGTGTCATTGGGGCTTTACTACGCACTCAGCTGCTGAGGCTACATGGCGTCGCCTGCCTCTCACTCTGGCAGGAAGGCGGGCACCGCGGGGAATCGAACCCCGTACCTCTGGTTCCCACATGCGCAGTGGTTAACGCAGCCGCGTTAACGCAGACGTAGACGCGTTAACCACTACACTACCGGCACCCCCACCCTGGTCTTGTGAGGGGACGGGGGCGCCACAGCCGCCTCAGCGGGGCGCCTCGCCTGACCGTGCCGGGGGCTGCCCGCGCCCCCGAGCCGAGCACGCGGTCCGTGCCTGTGGGCCGGGCGCACAGTCACACCCGGCCGCGCAGGGCCGGCCGCGCGGCGCCCGTCCGTACCTGGTTGGGGAGCGAGCGGTCGGTCCAGTGGCGCACGGCGGCCGACTCGCTGACGCGATCACCTCAGGCCGGTGGGGATGACCAGCGGGCGCCGGTCCAGCTGGTCCAGCGGCTGTCGCGTCCACACCGTCTCGTAGATCGGCGTGCCGTTGCCGGCCGCGTTCAGCGCCCGCAGCGACACCCACGTACTCGGCGTTCGGATCTGTCGGCCGCCGGCGCCACCGCCGTCAGCTGCTGCTTTGGAGGCGCTGACGGCGACGCGACTATGGGGCATGTGTGGGAGGGCGGCAGGGGGAAGGTGGCTAGGCATGATGTGTTTCAGCTCCAATGGTCATTGCGCGGGGGACGGGAATGGGGGGGGGGCAAGTTTCCGGGCCGGGCCTAGGCAGACTTGGCGCAGTGAATTTTGGACACAAGCCTGCACGCATGTGTGGGTAATGCCTGACACAACCGCAGAAGCAGTGGCGATGGCGGGACCAAGGCACAGACTTGCCAGGCCAGGCCAGGCCAGGGCCAGGCCAGACCAGACCAGACCAGACCAGACCAGGGAGCCAGGCGCTGGAAGTCGATTCATGGGCCAGCTGTCCCACGGCGATCACACTGCACAAGAGCAGCGACCAGCTCACTACCGGCCGCTACCGGGCGACGTTTATGTAACCCGTCCGGTCCGGCAAGCCGCCGTTAGAGGCGCAGCGACCTGGGAGCCGGCGTCCCGTGCGATGACCGTCAGCCATCACGCGGAGAAGCCCCGCCTGTGCGGCTCCTGTCACTGTCGCCGCACCATCGCAGCGCACAGCTGACAGCCGGCGGCAGCCACAGCCCACAGCGGACGTACGGCGGCGGGCTGTCGCCGCTCGCTCTGGCGGACCGCTGACAGCGCCGGCCGTCGGCTCACCCAGTCCGGTGAATGACGTAGTAGCGCTGCTTCTCGTCGATGACCTCTGTGTTAGCTGTCGGGCACGCCGCGGCCCCAGCCGATCGTGTAGCCCCGCACGCGGATGTTCTTGTTCTCCGGCGGCGACCACAGCACCGTGATGGTGTTCTCGGTGGGGCGCGCTACCGGCCGGACCGCGCAAGGTCAGGTCAGGTCAGGCCACGCCCAGCGACGATGAGCGATAGCGCTGGTCACTCACGTTCGATACCACCGATACTGGCGATCAGCAAATCTTTATCAGCACCCAAACTATGAAGACGATAGCAAGTTTATCGCACGCATATGGCGAGCCTTTCCTTCCCAATGTTTTACGTCTGGTCAACTTCCTTTGAAAGAAAAACTGGGATATGAATGACAAACCGTAATTTAAACAGTTTTACAATGGCCAAAACAGATGGCCTGAGCTACTTACTGTCGCACCAAAACCAAACAACTCCGCGACAATAAACCACCGGAAGAAACACGACACAGCTCACAGACACATCCGAGACAAAATCCTCCTGCCAGACCGGCGCCGCCGCACCAGCGCCGAGCCGCCGCGGCGCGAGGGCCGCCGCCTCTCACCTCGCAGCGAGGCCGGGCCGGTCGGGCACGGCCCGCCTCCACCTGCAGCCGGTGGAAGGTCTGCGCGCCGTGCCAGCGGGTGTACGGGCCCGTGCCGTTGACGGTGAGCGCCGCCATGCGCACCAGGTACTCGGCCGTCCTTCTGCAGGCCGGCCAGCGCGTAGCTGCGCCGGCTGGCGTCTGTGACGACCGTCTGCGCGCGCCGGCCGCCGCCGCCCGCCTTGGCTTGTAGCGGATCTTGTAGCCAGTCAGCTGGCGTTGCGGTGCTCCGGCGGCGGCGGCTCCCAGTGTACCACTCACGCTCTGAAGAGGACCGAGGGAGGGGGGGCGTCGGAAGGGATCGGATGGCGGCAGCTCCCAGTACACCACCACGCTCTGAGGGGGCCGCGGGAGGGGGCGTCGGAGGGGTTCTGGCAGCGGTGATTCCCAGTGTAACCACCACGCTCTGAGGGGGACCGAGGGAGAGAGGGGTCGGACGGGGTCTGGCAGCGGTGGCTCCTAGTGCACCACCACGGTTCTGAGGGGGCCGCGGGAGGGGGCGTCGGGAGGGGGGGGGGGGGTCTGGCAGCGGTGACTCCCAGTGCACCACCACGCTCTGAGGGGGGCTGCGGGAGGAAGCGTCGGAGGGGGTCGGATGGCGGCGGCTCCCAGTGCACCACCACGCTCTGAGGGGGACGGAGGGAGGGGGCGTCGGAAGGGATCGGATGGCGGCGGCTCCCAGTGCACCACTACGCTCTGAGGGGGCAGAGGGAGGAGGCGCCGGAGGGAGGTCGGGCGCGCCGGCTGCGGGTTGTCCACGCGCAGCGGGTTCGATGAGGCCGTCGTTGTGGCAGTTGCAGCGATAGTCGCGTACATATGCCCGCGGCGGTGTTCCCAACAGGCCGACTACAGTAGCGCGCCACTGACTAACGTCAACAAGGTGGGGGCGGCATATCTGCAGTGCTGGCGACGAAATCGCGTCCTACAGCTCAGCAAAATATAGCAGACTGCCTTCAGCAAAACGGAACAAAACCATGCCGGCAACGCCTAGACACCACGCACCTGCGACGAACGCGCACATGCCAAAACGAAATTAATGCCTCACCAAAACACACCAGCGCGCAGTTGACCCCACACACACCACGCTGGGTCGGCGCCGCCGGATGCGCCGCGGCGGTCACTGACCGTATCGCTGGCCGTCCTCGACGGTGATGTTCTGCGGCCGTCTCGGAGGGCACGTCGCTCCAGGTGGTGGCGCGCGCCTCCGGCCGTGCTCGGGCCCGGCCCGTTGGCGTTCACCGCCGCCACGCGCACCGTGTAGCTGGTGAACATTGCGCAGGCCGGTCAGCAGGTGGCGCGTCAGCGGACGTGTTGACGGCGCGCTCCTCCTCGCCGCCCACAGACTGCGCCGACGCCCGCAGGGGCAGACGGTGTGTAAGGAACCTGAGCCGAGCCGCGCGAGGGAGGGGGCGGCGCGCCGGGAACAGCATAAACAGGCCCACCAGCGCTCCCCCTCCTGGCAGGGGTTCATACGCCAGGACCGCCGAGGCAACCAATGGACGTGTTGGGGCGCATGGGTTAAAATACAGTCATTTAACGACGCAAGCAGTTGTTAAGGTTCTACACGCCAGAGCCGCACGGTCACGTCCACAGCAAGACCGTACGGCATGGCGCAATGCGACGGCTTCCGAATTCATCACAAGTGGCGCTTGCGTCCATGCCACGCTTCTCTTAACTTAAACAGTCTGGTGATCCTCAACGTTCAACGTACGGCCGACTACGACAGTGCCCAACCCACGAGAGCACCAAACAAAGCTCACCACCAATCCAAAAATGCAACTACCCCGCAAGCCCAAAACAGTAGCTCATCTCGCGCCCACCGCCCCGACGCACAGCTGGCGTGTCAGTGCGTGCTCGTCGCCGAGTGGTGGGGGCGCCGGCGGTGCCGGCGCCGCCAGCCGAGCTTCCGCGCCACCCACCGGAGCCACGTAGAGCCGGTAGCCGGCGGGGCGACGGCAGCACTGGCTGCCAGCTGACGCGCAGCTGGGTGGCGCCGGCCGGCTGGAGGCGAAGCGCGGCCGGCGCCGGCGGCACCGTCAGCTCTGGCCGTGTGCGCAGGGCGCAGCGGCGCGCCGCTCCTGCCGGCCGCCGCGCCCACGTTGGCCACCACGCGGAAACGTGTACTCGGTGTCCGGCTGCAGACCCTGGATCTGCAGACTCGGCGAGCGGAGCCGGCGTGTGTTGTGCACGCGTGTCTGCGCGGCAGGGTGGTGTTTAATGGGGAGGCTACAGGAGTGCAGGGCGGCGGGGGTCGTGGCAGCCGGTGCCACGATGATGAGACCACGGTTCGGTCCGGACTCACGACTGACGAGCCGTCGACGGAATCACCCGACTCCCGGCTGGTCACGGCGCTACCCCGGCGCGAACGAATAAAGACACGATCTCCATACTCTACAGCCTTCGCCGCTCTACCCCAGCACACCGCCTAAGTCAGCCCACACCCAGCACCCCCAATCCGCGCAGTCCCTGCTCACTGTGACTCACACCCCGCCCCACCAGCCATCCCGTGCTCCACCCACTCCAATCCCGCCTCCTGCCGCCGCCGCCCGCCACGCAGTCGTCTGCCGCACAGGGCGGCCGACGGCGCCGCCGCCTCGGCGGTGGGACCGCCGTCAGCACACAGTTCCCTGCTCACCCTCTCTGAGCCGAGCTCGTGGTAGACGACCGAGTACGAGGTCACCGGGCCGGCGCTGTTCAGCGGCTCGCGCCAGGTCAGCGTCACGAAGCGCGAGTCGACGATGCGCGCCGTGAAGTTGCGCGGCGCGGTGGCGGCGCCGGCGGCGGCGGGCGCCGCGCCGACCGCGCCCGCTGTCAGCGCCGGGCCGCCGTTACGGGCGCGGCCACTCTCTGCACGTGGGGGAGGAAGGATGGACGCGGACGGCGGGCAGGCGCGGGCCGGAAGGGAGGAAGAACGAAAACGGAGATTAGTGCTGCGTCGGCGTCGGCGCGGCGCCGGCGTACCGCGCGTCATTCAGCGGCAGACGAGGCCCCGCAGACACCGACGGATGGACAGACAGACAGAGATACAGACAGACGGACACGGCATGCGGAGTCGCCATCTCGGAGCTCACGGCAATCAACTCCACAAATACGGACACCGCTCCAGCGGGCCGGCGGCCGGCAAACCCGACGCCAATTCGGCATACAAACAGATCAAAAGTCGACAGATCTTAAAACAAAAATCACTAAGCATGAGTACGAATGACGGCGGCGTCCGTCCCTCAAACACATGCCATTTGAGGGGATCGCACGCAGTTACCCAACCAGTGACCGCGATGGCTGACTGGGCGCCTGCGAGCCTTAAGCGCCTTCAGCCAAACTATCTGTACTGGGATTTGCATTTCCATGCCCATATTTCTAAAGACATGTTCTTCTCCACGTCACTGAGTTGAGCAAACATGAAAACGCAAACTTAGGCGAACTTCTCTGCATGCCTACAATCTCATCCACTAATGCCAGAACAGCAAACAAAAGCATCAGGCGTAGGTAAATACGTCACGCAAGCCTGAGCGGAATTATGCAAAATGCAACGCACCAAATATGTGTTAATGTAAGCAGGTGGTATGCAAATGAGGTTTAAGCTTACAGCGAACGAGGATGTAACAGCTGTGCAGGAAGAGGAACGGTTATTTTTCCGGAACAAATTACGAAAAGTCAACACAACCAAACTGAAGCGGACGAGGTCGTTGGGGAGCAAGGGTCTTTTAGACACGACGGACGGCAGAATAGCAGCTGCTTGGGCTTCAGAAGCGAACTGTGGCCTGGCCTTGCCGATCACGAATAGCATCGGCGCGTCACAAACATGGCCATTCTTTCTCCACGTTGCCGCAAGCACAGCAATTAAACCTGGCATGAAAGTCACGCCAGCTTTGAGACCACCAATGGGCGAGTTCCTACCACGCCTTTCGGCGACATCACTTCTGCCTGCAGCCGCCAGTAACAGCTCTGAGGGAAGCGGGTACGCACACCAGGCCGGTCCAAGCGATCTGAAGCCATTCTCGTGGGGGGGGGGGGGGGACGCTGCCACCGGCCGGCCGCCCCACTGGCGACACCGCTGCGCACATACCCGGCGCCAGGACGGTGAGGCGCGCCGCCGTCTGCACGTTTCCGGCGTCGTTGGAGGCGAAGCACTGGTAGACGCCGGCATCACGCTGTACCAGGGCCCAGGATCCGCAGGCTGTGGCCGTCCACCAACTGTGTGGCGAGACGGACCGGTCAGGCGGCGCAGCACGGCCGCCGAGAGCGCGGACGGCGGCGAGCCGCGAGCACACCACCCAGTCAGACACGGAGCACACGCAGGGTCAGACGAGGACACAGGAACACCCCGGGTTGAGGACCAGACAGGAGGAACGCGACGGAGGTCAGCCGATGAGAACAGAGCGGAGGTCGCACGGCGGGGGTCAGGCAGAGAACACACACGATGATGTAGGACACACCACAACACGGCGGGGCAATGGAGAGCGGCCGGCTTCCGCACCCCAACACTACGACCACGCCTCACATACAAACCGACCCCGGCACACTGATCGCCACGGAGCGCAGCCCCGTAAGAACCCCGGTGGACCTCCGACCACTGCCAGCAGCCACCAGCCTCACACCCTCGCTTCCCCCGCGCCTCCGCTGTGCACCGGCTAACGCTGCCCGCTAGCCTCGCCCTGAGCGACGCCCCCCCCACGGCAGGCGACGTTTGGGGTCCGCAGGCGCGGCACCAGCGCAACGGCACTACCGACGGCACCAGCGCAACGGCACCACCGACGGCACCAGCGCAACGGCACCAGAGCAACGGCACTACCGACGGCACTAGCGCAACGGCAACCACCGACCGGCACCAGCGCAACGGCACCGACGGCACAAGCGCAGCAGCATCACAGACAGCGCCGGCGAGCGGCACCCACCTTGAAGTAATCCGAGTTATGCAGTCGTTCGCGCCGTTCTTGGTCCAGTGTGATGCGCGGCGGCGGCGAGCCGCGCGCGCTACAACGACAGCTCCACGTCCTCCTTCTTCCGCGGCGGCCGTCTGGTTCGGCCGCAACCACAAACTCGGGCGGCACTGGAGCCACGGCACCGGCAGGTCAGCACCCGGCCAGCGCGCCTCGGACGGGCAGCGTACGTCGGCAATGGGTCGGGAGAATGGGCTCCCATGGCTTGTCCACGGAAGCTACTCGGGAACACGCCTGGCTAAGCCGTGCCTGCCGTATCCGTATGTACCAGCCGCATCGAGAAGAACAAAAGCAAATGATTAACAGGGGCCTGAATATGAAAAACAAAAATAAGTATTCACACCCATGGGAAGATGTGGAGATGTTTCTGAGCTGCGCGACACCCAAAAGAGACAAGGCGACAATCCGCCGTGCCGTTACGCGGTTTAAAGCCGCCCGTCTCCAGCACCAGACAGCACCGCACCCACTCCTCCGCCGCCCCACGCACCGCGCCCGGCGGCCCGTCAGTCGCCCGGGCCGGCCGTCGCCCGGTGGCCCGTCAGTCGCCCGGGCCGTCAGTCGCCCGGTGGCCCGCCAGTCGCCCGGGCCGGCCGTCGCCCGGTGGCCCCAGTCGCCGGCCCGTCAGTCGCCCGGGCCGTCAGTCGCCCGGTGCCGTCAGTCGCCCGGGCCGGTCGCCCGGGGCCCGCAGTCGCCCGGGCCGTCAGTCGCCCGGTGGCCCGTCAGTCGCCCGGGCCGGCCGTCGCCCGGTGGGCCCAGCCAGTCGCGCCCGTGCCGATCAGGTCGGCCCGGTGGCCCGTCAGTGCGCCGCGGGCCGGGCCGTCAGGTTCGCCCCGGGCTCCGGCCGTCGGCGTCGGCTGCAGGCAAGGGCGCGCACCTTGACATGCAGCACGGCGCTGGCGTCCGGCCGAGTCGACGGAGTTGAAGACGCGACACTGTACGTGCCAGAGTCCTCCTCGTGCACGTCCACGAGTCTGCAGGCTGCTGACGCCCCAGCAGGTAGAAGCGCCGGTCCAGGTACCTGCGGATGACGGAGGGGCGAGGTCGCGGTGACTGACGGGAGCCGAGGGCAGAAATGGGGCTGACGAATGCGAGAAGGTCCCAGGCAACAGCGGAGGGGCGAGGTCGCGGTGCCAGTCAAAGAAGGACGGGTGGGACGCTGGTGGCTGCCGCTGGAGAAGCGAGGTCCGGGTACAATAAATGAGGACTGCTGGTCGACCTGCAGTTAGCCGACTGCCACTTTCATCAGCGCACCACCTAGTGCATGCCGAGGCAGCCCTGCAAGGTCTATCCCGCACTCAAGTCGCCACGCCAGTAAACCACTGTCCACTAAAC